CTATGTGCTAAGTGACCTAACCCTTTAAAAGACTTTAAAAGCATTGCTGCCAATGGTGGGAGTGGGTAGCAAAAGCACATGGAGGAAAAAAATAAGTTTTAAAGAACATGGAATAAAAAATATGATTTTCTAGAAATATAAGTGCACTTACCGTTTCTTCACCAAGTCCTCAGTGCGGTTGTTCCCACCAACAGCATTCACCTCATCCACAATCTTCCTCCACAGACGGTTCTTCCTCATATGAGAAGTTTGTTTGGCTGCTCCCCAAAAAATACATTGGTAGTATTGGCACAACTTATTGACCAGTACTGCATTCTCCACTGCACCAAAATTGTCAGCATATTGTTTTCCTCCCAGGATCTCCAGCCTTTAAGATCCTGGGCTGCCTCTGCTTTCCCTTGCTTCTCCCACTTGCTTCTGCTTGCTCCTGGCCAGAGTGGTCTGTGCCCCCCTCCACTATATCCATAAAAAGTTCAGATGAGCTGGAGGAAGACATGGCCACTTCTGGCAGGCTCAGGCTGTAAGTGTCAGAGCCTTCTAAGGCGGCTAACTGGGTGGTGAGCTGGCTGAGCTCTAAAATGGCTGGCCTATAGAATATCTGGATAGATTTTGCACTGAAGGATTGCTGGCTCTGCCTTGAGTTGATACGTTAGTTTTTTACAGTTTTGTCTGGCAGTATGTATGGGCCTATTTAATTGGCTACTTTTTTCCAGTCCTGCTTCCTTCTAAAATGATATTGTTGGATACAGGAAAAGGTGGTTTTGCGCACACAGTGGATGCTTGATAAGATAATCTGTAACATACACAGCTATCATAGGGCAATATGCATAAACCAATAACTGGTATAAAAAATGATTAGGAGCACTCACACTTTAGAGAGCCATATAAGTCGGCTCTCTACTGTAGTAGCATGTAGAATACTCTGTACTGTAATTGGAATGGTCCCCCAGGAACAAGAATCTGTCTCAACCCGCAGTTTTGTCAACAGAGCCACGAGAAGTGATATCAGAACAACTGATCAGTTGTATTCTACATGCTACTACAGTAGAGAGCCGACTTATATGGCTCTCTAAAGTGTGAGTGCTCCTAATAATTTTTTATACCAGTTATTGGTTTATGCATAGTGCCCTATGATAGCTGTCTTAGTTACAGATTATCTTATCAAGCATCCATTGTGTGAGCAAAACCACCTTTTCCTGTATCCATCTATACTAATGTAAGTGTTTTTAAGGTGACTAAAACACTGGTTTGGTTTTAGACGCGCTGGGATTTACCATTTATTATCTATTTACTGTTTAGCGCCACTTATCCTATTGTTTGTGTTTGTAAAATGATATTGTATTGCCAGTTCCCACCTGTCAGTTAAGCATGATGATTCATGAGCCCAAGAGATTAAGCAAAAAGCAATGCATTTGCAATGCAATTCGACATATGAATGCCTATAGTGCGTGTTCTGGAGTTTACTAATAGTGCCAATACATTTTCATGCGATCTATAACGTTCTGGCATTTGGTGGTTCGGGAGTTGTTTAGAGAGTTTTCAGCATAAAATCAGGGAAATAGAACATTGTTCAATGCCATGTTGTGATCAATGTACAAAATTTGAAACTAATGGTTTTACTTTGTTCACTACAGGCTATTCGGTATTTAGGGAACTGATTTTTATGTTAAATTCATTTGGTTCAATTAAAAACGAATGGGTTTATCCGAAACGAAAAAAAAAACTAACAAATTTCCTACGAAAACAAATGAAAGAATGGATGAATTTCAGTTCTGACAAAACAATTTTTTATTTCATACGAATGCATTCATACGAAACAAAAATTTCTGAAGTGAACAGAATGAGAACAGTTTGTTCATTCATGTTAGGTCGACATTTGGTACTTTTAGGTTGGTTTGAAATTTAATTCAAATGAATGAAATTCCAAAACCGATCCGTGCTGCGGCTGCATCTTGCAGCCGCTTAGAAGATAGCTCCCTATTCCCACGGTATTAGGGTGCTATATACTAAAAGGCTGAAAGACCAAAATTGGTCTTTCAGCCAACTTTACTAACGCTAAGTAAAGATTACTTAGTATTAGTAATTAATTTGCCCCTACTCGCTATATTGCGAGTAGGGGCATATCTAGTAAACTGTGGCTGCTCACAGTTGTAAAAAATAAAAAATAAATAAAGCACCCCCCTCAATAAATGGGGGCTATTCAACTAAATGGGAGAAATAGGGTGCCCCTTGGTCCCACCCATAAGCGGCAGGTGGGGGCCCTAAAGGACAATGGGGGAACCTATTGTCCGACCCCCACCCATGAGCGGCATGTGGGGGCCCTAAATGACAGTGGGGAGGGACCTATTGTCCTTTCCCCAGCCCCGCACCACAAGCGGTGGATGGGGGCCCTACATGACAATGGGGGGGATCTACTGTCCTCTCCCCGGCCCCCACCCATGGGCGACAGGCGGGGCTAAATACATACAGAGACATACAGGCATACAGAAACATACATACAGAGACATACATACAGAGATATACCGTCAAACAGACACATACATATATACAGGCATACAGAGACATACAGGCATATAGAAACATACATACAAAGACATACAGGCATAAAGACACATACATACATACGTACATACAGAGACATATGGGCATAGAGAAATATACATACAAGACATACAGGGATACAGACACATACATACATACAGAGGCATACTGTCATACAGACACATACATACATACAGAAACATGCATACAAAGACATGCAGGCATTCAGAGACACACAGACACATACATACATACATACAGACAGAGACATAAAGGCATACAGTTACATACATGCATACAGAGACATATATACAGACATTCAGAGACAAACATACATACAGAGACATACATACATACATACATGCATGCATGCATACAGATACATACATGCATGGATACAGAGACATACATACATACAAACATACAGAAACATGCATACATATATACAACTATGGATACAGAGACTTACATACATACAGAGACCTACATTCATACATACAGAGAGAGACATACATACATACAAAGACATTCACAATTACATACTTATATCTGTTAAATCTTGTCCCTGGGGTGCATGCTGTCCGGCTCTGTGGAGTCCCATCCTGCAGCCCAGTCCCATCACTGGGCGCAAGCTGCACTGTGTGGTACACAGGGAGCAGGGATATGATGTCATTCATATACCCGCCTCCACCACACAGCCTGCGGCAGGCACCAGGGTAGGAGATAGGAGATGGGCGGGGAGAGGCTGGGCTACGCGGGCAGAAAGAGCTGGGCTGCGCTCGGCCACACTACAAGTAGTCAGCCTGATGTTGCGCTCCCAGGGCCAGTGTGCCCTAAGGTGGCCGTCTAATGGTAGTGCGGCCCTGTACGTGGTTTGTTCAAACCCTATGTAACGGAACTCCCCGTACTCCGACCGAGTACCTTCCGTTGATGGACGCTTCCTAGCTTGCGCCGAGGACCACAAGCACCGCACCGGACACCACAACCACCGGAGACTCCACAATCGCCATAGCTTAACTGGAGTCTCGCCATCTTCTGTCCACCCTGGATCAGCTTCTGTCCTTCAGGACTGTATGGGGAAGACCTCTCCTCCAGGAGAACGTATCAGGAACAAGCTCTTAAAAGTGCTAAGTGATTAAAGCTCAGGGGAGTATGCAGGGCATAGCAATCCCCAGTGTGAGTATAGCTGTCCCCTCCAATCACGAGACAAGACTACGTGTTGAGGGTCAAGAAGAACTGTGTTTAATTAGCACCAAAGGGCCTTCTTTTATGGAGGTCTTACACATACAGGACCGCCCACAGGGTTTTTATACTTATATTTTTATAACCAGCGTAATTTGGGGACAAACATATCCAAAATCCACTTGAATCGGTTAAGTGGTTCAGGAGATAGGTGGAAGTCATATTTTGACCAAGGAGGGATAAAGCAGCCAGTTCCAACTGGTTTGGCAGTGTCCCTGTGACAATGGGATGGGGGAGGAGAAGAGGCACACCTTCCCATGGATTCAAAGGGGCAGAAAAAGTGTCCCAAAAGTTTCAATATGTCCATACACTGTTTTTAAAGGGCCAGCACTAGTCCAAATAAAAGTCCATAATGGTTTTAAAGGGCCATACTCCCCAGGGCCATAGTCGCAGGGCAGGAGGCAGGCAAGCAGGCCTCTCCAGGACAAAGTGGCGAAGGGCACTTAGTCACACCCTGCCTGGTGGAAAAAGTAGAGATGGGAATATATATTTTAGTTTCTTTTTGTGTAAGTCCAGCGATGAAGCTCTGGAAAGTGGAAGGAAAATATTGGGTAAAGAATCATTAGAATAGCCACATAAAATGCTCAAGGGATTAATTTCCTGCAAATGAGGTCACTGGTATACCATTTCTTAAGGCAAGCAAATATACAGATCTGTGCTCTCCAAGAGACGGACTGGACAACGGGTGAAGAGCAATGAATGGTATCTAAAGATTTTCCACTGCTTTTCTGTGCATACTTGGACAGCAAAAAAAAAGAGAGGAGTTGAAATCTTGTTTTCTAGACATTTATCACCTGAGTTATTTTATCAAGAAAGAGATGCAGAAGCCAGATGTGTAATCTTGATCTGTAGGATTGGTAGATATTTTTACCTTTGTTAACTCTATGTACCAAACCAATCCCCAGTCAAGTTTATAAAGCAGATGTTTCTTAAGATCGCTAGAATAAAACAAGTCAGCCTGATTCTTATGGGAATCTTAAGCTTGATAAAAAAAAAACATGTAATCATCGGAAAGAAGATAGGAACGTGATAAATAATGCAAAAAGATTTAGAGAGCTCATAAGAGATAACGCTTTACTGGAGGACTAGACATCCCAAAGATCCAGACTACACCTGTTTCTCAAAAACCCATTTAAGTTATTCAAGAATAGATATGATTTTCAGAGATAGACACCTATCTAAGCTGAATAAAAAAATACATATTAAAACACTAGAATGGTCAGACCACAACCCAGTTGTGCTGAAACTAAAAGAAGAGCAGAAAAGAGGGCAAAATAATTAGAGGATAAACGATTGCCTGTTAAATGAAGAGGAATATCAATAACAACTGAAAAAAGCAACAGATAATTTCTTCAAGGAAAATACGGACAGAGACGTTTCAGCCCACATGACATGGTACGCATACAAATGTGTAATCAGAAGGGAATTGATTAAAATGGGAGTTAAGGAGAAGAGAAAAAAAACAGATTAGCAGATCTATATGTTAAACTTGATGAGTTAACCAAACAAAATAAACTTAATCCAGAAAGGGAATTAACACAGAACAGAAAATAGTAGAGGTAGAAAAAACTACCTACTTATAGATAGAGTGAACAGGGGACTAGAACGCTTTAACAGGAAATGGTATTATCAGGGGAATAAGGTTAACAAAACAATGTCTAATAAACTGAAAAAAAAATAAAGGCAAAAAAACATTACCTTAATCAGGTTAAGGAACGAGATACTACTGACTCCGGAAAAGATAGGGACCACCTTCAAAGAATTTTATCATCAATTATATAATCTCCAAATCAAACCTAAGCAAGCCCAAATAAAAGATTATTTGGATAAAATAAAACTACCCCACTTAACTGAAGAACAACTTATTTTAATTAACTGGCAGAAATTTAGGAAGAACATGAATTTAAGCAAGAAAGTCCTTACAAATACTTCCCTGGAGAATCTAGCTAACAATATAAAAGGTATAAACCTCAGAAAATGGTATAGAAGTGGTTTAGTGACAATAAATGACTTATTAGAGGGTAAACGTATTAAAACACTTACAGAAATCTCTAAAAAAAAAAGCACAGGAACTGAAAGGAGAAATTTCTACCTATCTGCGATTAAAAGGATATATTTTGAAACATTTATGCCTAGCAGGGCCGGCGCATCCTATAGGCGACTTAGGCAGTCGTCCAGGGTGCACTGGCACGGGGGGCACCAGATTTGAGTGACCGGCAGGAGGAAGCGCACAGCGCTCCCTCCTGCCGGTCATTCAATGTAACGTGGCCGGGTGTAGGAACTTCTGTTTCTTGTACCCATCCGCCGGCGGACTGACAGGAAGTGCTCACTCAGTGAGCGCTTCCCTTCAGTCCGCCGGCGGCTGGGTACAGGAAACAGAAGTTCCTGTACTGCGGTCCGTGCCGCCCAGCCACGCTACATGGGTAGGAGGCACAAAAGAAGAGGGAAGGGAAGTGAAGGGAAGGGAAGAGAAGAGGGTAAGGACCACTGAGGGAGGAGGGGAGGGAAAGGTCCACTAAAGGGGGCGGGAGAGGGTAAGGACCACTGACGGGGGGGAGAGAGGACTACTAAGAGGGTGGGGGAAGAGGGGAAGGTCCACTAAGGGGTTTGGGAGAGGGAGGACCACAAAGGGAGGGGAGAGGGAAAGGACCACCAAAGGGGGTAAGTAGGGGAAGGACCACCAAATGGGGGGTAAGTAGGGGAACTACCACTAAGGAGAGGGGAGTAGGGTAAGGACCACTAAGGGGGGGAAGAGGGTTAGGACCACTGAGGGTGGAGGGGAAGGTCCACTAAGAGATTTGGGAGAGGGAGGACCAGTAAGGGGGGGAAGAGGGTAAAGGACCACTAAGGAGGGGAAGAGGGAAAATGGGAAGGACCACTAAGGGAGGGGGGGTAAGGAGGGGAAGGACCACTAAGGGGGGTAAGAAGGGGAAGGATCACTAAGGAGGAAGGACCACTAAGGAGAGGGTAGGAGGGTAAGGACCACTGAGGGGGGGGGGGGACCACTAAATGGGTGGAGGGAAAAGGGGGAGGACCACTAAGGGGGTTGTCAGAATCCCAACCAAATATGGCTTTAGTAAACATGTGAATTGCCTTTCTGGTCAGAATTCTGCCATTTTCCCCGGATTTTGTCCATCTGGCCAAAAAAACTGTGTGTAAATTACTTATTATTTTCTTTTGTTTTTGTTACATCTTTAAAAAAAATATATAATAAACTGTTTCTTGACATTTTCTTTAAAGAGGTGTATGTACCTTGTGCTACTTCACCATTAAAATTATGTTAGTTTTACCCCTTAAGGCCACAGCTTCAGAAGCTTGTCTTACCCTAAAGGACACAAGCCATTTTTGCATTTTTTGCTGTTTGTGTTCAAACGCAATTTGTATCTCCATCTTTTATTGCACCAACACATATTATATACTGTTTTTTAGAGGGCAAACGGGGCTTTAATTTGATGTCACATATACATAGATACATTCTCATTAATTATAAAAAAAAATGCCAAAAAAAACAAAAATATGTCCAGCTTAGAAAAAGTAATTCAAAATAAATTCATTTATGTGTCTTGATTTACAAAGTACATCATATGTCTAGGATTTCAGCTTATTTTGAAAGTTACAGGTCACAAAATACAAGGACTAAAATAAAATTTAAATTTTCAAAAATTTTAGAAGTTGGTATGTTTGTCTTGTATGTTTAGTATATTTATATAAAGTAGACATCACAGGCTATTTGCCTAAGGATAGTTTGACACTTTTTATGTAGCCATTTCATCGCCAATCTCTGCTAAATGTTGGAGTAAAATTGTGTTTTTTCTTTATTTTGGCATATACACATATAACAAGGTTTTTGTAATGTGCATTTTGTAAAGCTGGTGTGTGCTATTCCTGCACAGAATCCCATATTGTGTTCAGCTACATCTGCTGAGTACAGGGCCGGACTGGCCCACCGGGATACCGGGAAATTTCCCGGTGGGCTGTCGGCACCTGGGGCCGGGCAGGCAGCTGGCTCACCTGCGGCCGCATGGGGGAGCTCTTCTGGCGGCCGCAGGGGGAGCTGGCTGTTCTGTCTCTGCTCCCCCTCCCCAGAGCACTACAAAGAGACCGGGGCTGGAATATGACGTCATATTCCGGCCCCGGTCTCATTAAGCGGCGCGCTGGGGAGGGGGAGCAGAGACAGAACAGCCAGCTCCCCCTGCAGCTGCCAGAAGAGCTCCCCCATGCGGCCGCCAGAAGATTCAGCTCCCCCATGCGGCCGCGTGTCTGTGTCATTGTGTGTATGTGTGTGTGTGTCTGTGTCATGGTGTGTGTGTCTGTCTGTGTCATTGTGTGTGTCTCTGTCTGTCATGGTGTGTGTGTCTGTCTGTGACATGGTGTGTGTGTCTGTGTCATTGTGTGTGTATGTCTCTGGCATGGTGTGTCTCTCTGTGTCATGGTGTGTGTGTGTCTGTCTGTGTCATGGTGTGTGTGTGTGTCTCTGTCCATCATGGTGTGTGTCTGTGTCATGCAATGTTTGTCTGTGTCATTGTGTGTGTATGTGTCTGTCATGTAATGTGTGTCTGTCTGCGTCATGGTCTGTCTGTGTCATGGTGTGTGTGTGTTTGTCATGGTGTGTGTGTGTCTGTGTCACGGTCTCTCTGTGTCATGGTGTCTGTGTGTCATGGTGTGTGTGTCTGTCTGTGTCATGTAATGTGTGTCTGTGTCACAGTGTGTGTTTGTGTCACAGTCTGTCTGTGTTATGGTGTGTTTCTGTCATGGTATGTGTGTGTTTCTGTCATGGTATGTGTGTGTCTCTGTCATGGTGTGTGTCTGTCTTTGTCATGGTGTGTCTGTGTTTCTGTCTGCGTCACGGTGTGTGTGTGTGTGTGTCTGTGGCTATGTATCAATCAGCTTGTGTCAGTGAAATTGTCTGTGTCTGCATGTGAGTATGCTTACTGTATAATTAAAAATTTTACTCTGAAAGGACCAATATTTTATATTGGAAAAAGCAATATATATATCAATCATCTAGGGTGGCAAGACATAGCCTTACATATTACATGCGGCAATATATGGCGCAATGACTTATGGGGCTGGCATAGATTTTTTTTCCAGGGCTGCTTTGGAATCCCCTGTCCGGCCCTGGCTGAGTACAACGATATCCCAATTGTATGCCTTTGGCACTATTCTGTAAAGCTACATTGCCATATAAGACATAAGGCTATTTCAGTTTCTATAGTTAGAATTTGATGGGCCTATGTCTCATTTTAGGGTATTATAGCAGTGTGACTGTTCAAATAATCCCACAAAGGGCTTTACTTTGATAAAGCAGACACCCCAGGGTATCTTATATGGTGTATATTGTGCCTTAACATGTCACAATTTTTTCATCAATTTATGTCAATGTTTTTGGTGAGGGGAAAACAAATGACATTTTTACATATATCTTGCATTTTTTAATATTTCTTACACTTGATATGTACCACTGTCATAAAAACGCCCAAATTATGCTAAATTACATCTTCTGAGTAAAACAATATGCCCAATGTATGACCTAGAAACTATTTTGTGAAGTTACAGTGCTGTAAAAGAGACGTGACAAGTTCAGGTTTTTAAGTGTAAATTTTCATGGAGGATTTTGATGCGTTCGTGTCCCACTTTGGAGCACTTGAGCAGGCTACATATTCCAGCTACACCATAAAGGCATACCATTTCTTAAAGAAGACATCCCAGGGTATTTCAAACAGCATATTTTGAACCTTAGTGTGGGATCATTTTTCCGCTAGTTTGTACCAAGTGTATTGGTAATAAGCATTTTTTCTGCCTTTTTGACAGACAAAGTGAGTTTGCACAGTATATTTTGCAAACCTTATGTGTGCTACGACTGTATAATACTACATATGTTGCTCAGCTATGTCGTCTGTGTATAGCAAAACCCCCTATGTACTTTTGCCAGGTATATGTGGATGTTGAAGAGGCACATTTGAGACACAGCCATTCAGTTTTTTTCTAACTTTGAAGTTTTACGCTGTGTCCATGTTCCATTTTGAAGTAGTTTAGCTGGCTGGTTATTCAAACTTCCCCACAAACATACTATTTATTAAAGAATATTCCCCGGGGTAATTCAAAAGGCATATTTTGTAGTGTTAAAGAGAATTTTTAAATTTATTTTTTTTACTTTTTTTAAAACTTTCATAAAAGTTCTTTACACATTTAACATTTTTATAAACTTTTTATTTTACCATTAACCCTTAATTAGCAGTAAGCAGCACTAATAGTAAATTCCCCAATTTCCCATAACTCCCACCCAAGCTAGCAAAATATATAATTTTAAAATAAATTAATGAAATAAATTAAACCACTGAGGGTAAAAAAAAAAATAAAAGTCAATAATAGTACGATCTGTATTTTGATCACTTTAGGTAGTGATCAACTGGCAGGGAAC